GCCAGAGCAAAGAGAAAGCCTGTCCTTTGGGTGAGTTATCCAAGGGTCTTCCCTGCTGTGCTCACCACTGAAGAGCCGGAGGGGGCTCCCCTCCCACCCCCCTACCGCCTTGCACTGGCATCTGGCCCAGAGGGTTATTCATTAGGTGGCTGGGAGCGGCCGGCCCCCATCAGACACCTGTTGCAGGAGCCTGGACTTCCCTCTCAGCCCCAGCATCCCAGGGGCCTGTAAATCATTCATCCTGGGGCCCTCTCCCTGCCTGCTGCTCTCATGCACCTCCTTGTCCCCTCCCTCCTAGGCTCCCTTGGTGGCACAGGTACTCACAGGAGGGGGAAGGGAGGGTGGCTTGGGGCAGTTGACAGTTCTGGCTCAGAGCTGAGAGTAGAGCCCAGGGCTCCTGACTGTCATTAAAAATACAAATTCAGGGGCACCTGGGTGGCTCAGTCAGTTAAACATTCAACTCTTGATTTCGGCTCAGGTCATGATCTCAGGGTCGTAAGATCGAGCCCTACTCCGGGTTCCGTGCTGATCTTGGAGCCTATTCTCTCTCTGTCTTAAAATAATAATAATCAGGGGTGCCTGGGTGGCTCAGTCAGTTAAGCGTCTGCCTTTGCCTAGGGTCATGATCCCAGGGTCCTGGGATCTAGCCCTGCATCGGGCTCCTTGCTCAGCAGAGAGCCTGCTTCTCCCTCTGCCTCTGCCTGAAGCTACCCCGGCTTGTGCTCTCTCTCTCTCTGTGTGTCAAATAAATAAATAAAATCTTTTTAAAAAATAATGAAAAATACAAATTCACATTGCATATGGTAAAAAAAGAGAGAGAGAGAGAAAGAGAAAGGGAAGGAAGGGAGGGAGGGAGGGAGGGAGGGAGGGTTATCCCAAAGACTCTCACTTAGCTGTGGCCCCACGGCTTCCAGTTCCTTCTCCAGAGGTTTGTTAGTAATTTGTATTTTCTTTCAGAAAGAACTCTACGTACACACACATGTATGAGTGTGTGTGTGTCCCACTGTTATACAAAAACAGTAACATACAATTCACAACATTCTATGTCTTGCTTTTTTTTTGTAACTCAATATATCTTAGAAATTGCTGCATATTAGTACATGGGGAGCTTTATAATTCCTTTTTAATGACTGCATAATGTTGCTCTCCATGGATGTACCATCTCTTATTTAACAAGTATCCTACTTTTTTTTTTAAGATTTTATTTAATTTTTTTGAGAGAGAGAGAGAGAGAGCAAGTGAGAGAGAGCCCGAACTGGGGGAGGGGCAGAAGGAGAGGGAGAAGCAGACTCCCCACGGAGCAGGGAGCCTGATGCGGGGCTCGATCCAGAACCCTGGGATCATGACCTGAGCCGAAGGCAGACGCTTAACCGACTGAGCCACCCAGGCGCCCCTAACAAGTACCCTACTTGTGGACGTACGTTGCTTCTAGTCTTGTGTCTTTTCAAACAGCTATGGCTTTGGGCATTTTTCTGTGAGATCAATTCCGGGAAGTGGGATTAATGGGTCAGAGGGTACATGTATATTAAATGAGGCTAGATGTTACCAAGTTGGGCTCCGAGGAGGATGTTGCAGTTATTTCTCCCTGGACAGCATATGGGATTTCTTGGTTTCTGGACCACAGTGTGATACCAAATGTTTTGTTCTTTGGCAGAGCTTTTTCGTAGCAATAAAATGGTGCGATTTGAGAGCTCCACCAGTGGCCAGTGGTTCCTGAGCCCCCCAGCCCATCTCCTGGGCCCAGAGAGAAGGTGACAGGCCCTGTGGGCTGGGTCTTCCCTGGCAGCTTCACTAGAACAGAGAAAAATAATTATGCAGCTAGAGCCCTGTCCCCTGTCTAATTCCGTGCTCCTCAAATCTGGGAGGAGTCAGGCTACAGTTTGGATCACCTGAGCCCAGGGTTGATAACACTACCAGGCGGGATGGCCCTTAACAAGGATGGGCACCTTCCTGAGCCCCCATTTCCCCCATCTATGGAAATGGGTGTGCTGGCTCCCTACTTGCTCATCAGAAAAGATGGGAGTGAGTGCTGGGTGCCTGAGGAAAAGGCATAATAAGCTTCATAAGCGCTGCTTGTAATGTCTCAGGCTCTTTGGGTGGGAAAGGAGACTTATCCCGCCACTTCGGGCTGTGAGTATTCTGGGCATTTTCAAGGGCCCACCCAGCCTGTGGACCATCTAGCCCCAGCCCAGAGCTCTGGGGACTGCCCTTACCATGATCCGGCCCCGCCCTTCCCAGAAGTACAAGTAGACAGGTGGTCTACTGTTTGAGCTTCTGTTGCCAAGGTTTAGGAGGCTTCTTGGGGGGCTCTCTGGACCCCAAGCCTGATGGGGTGAGGAGTTGTGCCAAGAGTAGGGAGTGGGAACTCTCCATCAGGTGACACGGCTTTGGGCAAGTCCACGCTTGCCCAGGGCTTCAGTGACCCTGACTGTGTGGGGGAGGTCGGACTGGAAGGTTTTACAAGGCCTCTCTTACTTGGACCTCCAGCATCTGTATTACCTGCCCGAACCTCAGTCTCTTCATCTATAAAATGGGAGGAGACTAAATTGAACCCTTCCGGCTTTAGCCCAGTGAAGATTCAGAGCTCTCCTGGGCTCCGGGAGTGGCGCATTAGGCAGAACTGTTTTTGAGTCGGCGTTGAATTTTCTAGGCCAAGGAAGGGCCCATCTGGAGCCAAGGCCTCAGCAGCCACTCCCTTGTCCCTTTCCTGGGCCAGGCCTGGCCGAGGGCCGAGGCTGTCCCGTGCTCCATCGGGTGGTGGGCTGAGGTCAGTGGCTATGGAAGCGTCCAGTGCAGTTCTGCTGCTCTGGCAGGAAACCCAAGGAAAAAAGCCCAGAAACATCTGTTGTCTCCCATTTTCTGCAAAACCATTTGGCTCTTGGGGAGCCCAGTGGCTGTCCTGCCAAGCTGCGTGGGCTTGGTAGTGGGGCGGGAGCTGGAAGAGGGGTGGGTGGTTAGCACAGGGGTGTCAAGGGACAGGCAAAGCCACAGCCGTGACCCTGGGAGGTAAAGGCCAGTCTGTGTGGGGGCAACTGGGTGAGGTGGAACAGGGTCCACGGTTATTCCGAGACTCGCCATGGCCTGGTGGACATGGGTAGATCTGAAAGTGCTTGCGTGTGCCTCCTATTTATAGCCGAGTATTCAGCTTCTTGCGAAGGAAACTGGTGTTTAGTCAGGCCCCCGCACCAGCCCAGGCCAAGCACGACTCTTAATATTCTCTCCAGACAGACCTCTGATCCCAGTCCCAAAGAGAGTCCTGACTTTAACCCCAGTCAGTCCTCAAATCCCGCTCCCGGCCCCAGGCCGAGCCCCGTAGAGAAGCCAAGCCACAGCCTTCTCTCTCCTGGGTTATTGCAAGCCTATCTGTGCTTCCCCTTTCTTGCCAGTCTGTCCTCCAGGCAGCAGCCAGAAGCAGATTAAAACCAGTATCAGTCCTCGTGTCTCCTGGGCTCAGAAGCCTGCCATGGCTCCCATCACAGACAGAGTAAAACCCAGAGTCCTTTCTGTGGCTGGTAAGGCCCTGGACAACCTGCACCTCTGTCCTTGCTCACTGCACTCTGGCTACACCAGCTTCCTCACTGTTCCCCACACATCAGATGTCAGGCATGCTCCCACCACAGGACCTTTGCACTTGCTGTTCCCTGCATCCTGAGCCCTCTTCCCCAGATATCTGCATGACCCTTTCCCTCACCTCCTTTAGATCTTTGCTTAAATTCCCCTTCTTGGTAAGACCTTCATGGACTACTCTATTTAAAATCGCATACTCTCTCCTCCCCAAATTCCCAGTCCTCTCTTCCTGTCTTCTTCTTCTTAAGAATACTTATCAAGTACTTAGCATTAACATATCAAATTATTTTGATCTCTGATTATTTTGATTAGGTTCCACTAGAACCTGATTTCATTGAGAGTAGGGACTTTTTTAAGTTTTGCTCGTTGGTGTACCCCAGTGTTTGGCCCATGGCAGCTCAGTAAATATTTGTCGCCTGAGCCTGCATCACTGCTCTGTGCCCAGGGAAGAGGCGGTGGTGTGGATGGCTCTGGGCAGACTGCTGCAACCCCAGCTTAGGGCTTGGTGTCCAGGGCTAGGGTCTTCAGAGGTACCTGACAGGTCCTCGGGGCCTCAGGGCCGCGAGCAGTGCTTTTTGTTGGGCCAGCAGCCGCCAGGCATTTGACAGGAAGTGAAGAGAACCCACCCCAGGACGGAGCAGCAAGCTTCCGCCTCTGCCTGTGGTGGCTCATCCCCACTCTCCTGCGCTGGAGAGAGGAGCCGCTGACTTGTCACTGGTCTTAGTCTGCCCTGGGCTGCGAGGTGTCCCTCTCTGTCTCTGGTGTGACCACCTGTGGTCTCAGGATCCTGAATCAGAACCACCTGGAGAGCTTGTTAAAAATGCAGATTTTAAGGGGGCCTGGCTGGCTCAGTCAGTGGAGCATGCGACTCTTGATCTCAGGATCATGAGTTCTAGCCCCATGTTGGGCGTAGAGATTACTTAAAAAATAAATAAATAAAATCTAAAAAAAATAAAATAAGATGCCGAGTCTAGCCCTGAGGCTTTCCGGTTCATAGGGTCAGGGATGCCCTGGAAACTGTGTTTTTCACGCGCTCCCCAAGTGTCTGTTGCACAGCCACATCTGGAAACTGCTGGGTGAAAATTGGTGGAGTTGGCGGATCAGAGGAGGGCTCTGGGTCAGGGGAGCTGGGCTGAAACCCCAACTCCGCCAGCAGCTTGCTGTGGAGCCCTGAGCAAATTGCTTCTCCTCTCTGAGTCTCGTGTCTCCCCAAATGGGCATGAGAGCAGTGCTTGCCTCTCAGGTTGGGGGTCTCCAAGTCTGACCCCAGGGGAATGATGGTTCTCCCCCAGGACTGAGTGTGCGTCCCTCCCAACCTCAGGGTCCTCCTTTCGGGGGGCCCTGGATTGCTTCCTCCCTGGGGCCCTGCTTCAGCTTTTGCAGGTCCCCCCCCCACCCCATTCACTTCCCCTCCTGGGCCCTCTGCTTCTCAGGGAAGACCCGGACCAAGGACAAGTACCGCGTGGTCTACACCGACCACCAGCGCCTGGAGCTGGAAAAGGAGTTCCACTATAGCCGTTACATCACCATCCGGCGGAAGTCAGAGCTCGCTGCCAATCTGGGGCTCACCGAGCGGCAGGTGTGTGGGTCCCCCCACCTTCCCCGCAGGAGCAGTACTGGCAATCTGGCCTCCAGGGTGTCAGGCAGATTATAGACTCGGTCGGGGAGGAGAACAGAGAGGTTGGGTTTCCTGACCATGGTCACACAGCACTCAGCAGAAACTGAGCTGCTGCCAAATCCTCCCACCTGCAACAAAACCCAGTATCCCTGACGCCCAGTAGGGCGGAAGGGGGATCTGATTCGCTATAGGCTATAGCAGCTAGGATGATTGCTGTTTAAATCCTAAGGAGGGAGCAGTTACAGGGAGCACAGGGAAGTCTTCCTGGAGGAGGGGGTCTTACAAAATGGGGACCGAGAAGGTTACAGAGATACTGTCTTTAGGGTTGGGGAGCAGGTCCTAGAGGGGGAGGATGTGTTCAGCGGCCATGAATAGTCTGGGTGGTGGTGCAGGAGGGAGGCCACAAACCCCCCATGGGGAAATAAGAGCCCAGCTGTCCTTCCTGTCTTCCTCGTGCTCTGCCATTCGGTCTCCCCACCAGCTAGCCCATCTCTGCTCTCCCGTACCACAGGTGAAGATCTGGTTCCAGAACCGGCGGGCCAAGGAGCGCAAAGTGAACAAGAAGAAGCAGCAGCCCCCACCACCCCCACCAGCAGCCCACGAAGTCACCCCCACCGCAGCTGGGCCGCCCCTGGGGGGCCTGTGTCCCAGCTCTGCCAGCCTCTTGGGAGCCTCCTCCCCAATGCCGGTTAAGGAGGAGTATCTGCCGTAGCCCCCTGCCCAGCCTTGTGGGCTGGGTGCCTGGGGACTCAGGTGCTGGGCATGTGGCTCCCGTTAAGGCCTAGGAGGCCTGGTCTGAGTCCCAGCCCTGCCACTGACCTTGGGTAACCTTGGACAAGTTGCCCACCCAGCCCTGCATCCCCTTGACCCATCTACCTATGCCTGGAGCCTGTGGGATAAGGACCTTTCCAGCTCCTGTGTTCTAGGCCTCAGGGGGGCGGTCTCGATCCCTAGAGGGCTAGGTGAGGGGCTGTGATAAGTTCCCAGGCCCCACCTCCCCCTCCATGGATGGGTTCAAGGGTGGGAGGCCACTGGAGGGATTGGAATGACTCAGGAGAAAGGAGCTAGAGCCGAGTGAAGACGGAATGCTTGCAGCCCATGACCCGAGGGGAAGGGATGAGGTCAGCTCCCACCTGCCTCTTCCTGCAGCCTCACCTCCAGCTGTCCCCGTCACAAATTACCCTGACCCCTCTCTAGGCCGGATGCAAAGCACAAAGCCCACAAGACTGGGACAGAGCAAGAGGCTCTGATGACCGTCCCCTCTGGGTTGCAGAGCCGTATGCCCCCACTAGCATTCTCAGTGGGCCCTCCAGATGGGGACAGGCAAAGGGGGCTGGGGTGTGGGGGGGTCCACCTGCCTAGTTTCTACACCCCTAGGCTATCCCTTAGGGCCCAGGCCCCAGGGAGTCCCCAGGGAACTTTCTCCGGACCAAGCAGAACTCACAGCTGGACAAGTGTTGCACATAGAGTGGAATCTCTTGGATGCATCTTCAAGAATAAATTTTTTTTCTCTTTTCAAAAAAAAAAAAGTATAAAAATCATTATACCCAGCATTAAAGGAAAGTGCTAAAGAAGTATATACCATCCACACCCTTCCCTAACAATTGCATAGTCCCCTCCAGTCTCTGTAGGTCTCTAACAAGGTCACCTTTAAAATGTGTTTGAAAGATCAAAACAGGACATTGTTAGAGTAAGTCTATGAGACTGCGTAAAACTGTAAATCCATTTTGTAAGCAGATTCATCAGACTCAATATATCGGTTTTTTGAATTTTTCAAGCACTTTCATCTCACATTTTTTACTCAGCAGCTGATATTCACTGGGCACCCCCGTGTGCCAGGCATGGCCGAGCCCAGGGAATGCACAGTCCTTGGCCCACAAAAGTTCCCAGTCGGAGCTCTGCTCTGGGCATCAAAGGAACAGAGCATCCGGGGAGCCCAGAGTGGGCTCCCAGCTTATGGCAGAAAGTCTGGAAGGCTTCCTGGAGGAGGTGATGTTTGGATTGAGGCCTAAAGATCTAGTAGGTGCTGTCAGGCCAACAAAGGAGGAATGGTAAAAAAGAATATGAACAATAGGAACTTGAAGTATGATGTTTTAAAACTCCTGAGAAAAGCTACTGTTCTCAGTTCCCTTCCAGAGGTGGGCAGGAGTCTGCCCCCTGGGGCCTTTGCTCTCTCGAAGGCTCTGGTGCCAGCTGCCCGCCCCTCTGTTTACTGTTCTGGGATGTGGCCCAGCCATAAAAAAGTGTGTGTAGCCTGCCTGTCTGCCCTTTGCTCCCGGGACACATGACAACAAAGCACAAGGTGGCTCCAGCCCCACACTAGCCCTTGAAGAGCAGTAGGCACTTCCCTCTCTCCTCCTGCTGGTGGCCTGGGAGGCCCCGCAGCTTCCCCGCAGATGGTGGGCATCTACGGCATGGGAGAAAGGTGGTGCCAGGGAAAGGACTATGGTTCCAAGAGCAGAGGAAGAGGGTTGGTGGGAGGGTGGTTGGCAGAGTGGATATGGTTTTCTGATCTTCACAAATACTTGCTGTGTGACCCCGGCTTAACTGCTTCTCCTCTCTGGGCCTCATTTCCCCATCTGTAAAACTGAGGAGTTCATTTACCAAAAAGAAATGTGACTCAGGTCCAGTAAGTTTGGGAATTCCTGCAGACTCAACCCTTCTGGGGGAGTCCCAGTGGTACATTAACACATCAAAGGCTCTGACAAGTCCCACAGCAAAGAAACCCCTTGAATTTTCTTTAATCCAGCATTCTCCATGCTTTGCCACCCAGGAGCCCCCTACTAGCACCTGCCAGCACCCCAGTGAACACCACACACTCCGGAGTATGGGGATGCTGTGGGCTGGGGGGACTCAATGTTCGGCCCCAGGCTCCAGTGTCAGACGGCCTGGCCTCCAGTTTACTGCCTCCCAGCTCTGAGACTTCAGGCAAGTCACTTAGCTTCTTTGAGCCTCGGCCTCCTCATTTGTCAAATGGAAATAAAATCCTTGAACCTATCTCAGAATTGTGTTTAGCACAGGGTAGGTGCTGTGTTTTGGCCACCTGCTCACAGGGCTGTTGCATCCCTACAGGTCTGCCTAATGTTCTAACTACCCTTATTCCCCCCACCCCCACCCCCCAGTGCTGAGGGCAGATGGCAGCCTGGGAGGTCTGAGGCAGGACAAGCCTGTCCCCAGCCACAGGACAACCTCTGTCTAGCAGGAGGTCAGTGGCCAGGCCTGGCAGGCTGGGTCAGCTGCAGCTGCTGCCGACATGGGAGGTCAGGGGGCTGGGTGGGGCCCACAAGGTGGGTTGGTGATCGCCTGTCATTTGGTGTCTGAGCTCCAGGAAAGAGGAAACTTTGATCTCAAACGACTTCCAAGCATTGTCATGGGCTGCCTGGTGAGTAGGGAGCTCCCTATCACTCAGAGAGTTCCACTGGAGCCTGGGGTGTTATGGCTCAGGAAAGGGACCCCTCATGTCCCATCAGACCCAGCAGCCGACCCAGCGCTAAGAGGTATTCCAGCCTTCCTGTCAGGAATAGCCGCAACTGCTTCTATTTTGCGTATAGCAATTTTATGCCACCCTCCCCCAGGTGGCCGGCCCTGAGCAGGTGCTGGAGACCGGGGGTCCAGACAAATGTCAGATATGGCTTGGCCTGGTCCTCAAAGGCCCATGGCCTGGTCATGGCCTCTAGCAAATCAGAAGCATGCACATCAGCACTATCTTTTGCATGCAACTTCCCCTGTAGACCCCTAATGCCATGCCGAGAGCCTCAGTCTGTGGAGGAGCCAATCCCAACGACTGCCAAGGGGTCGGTGTGGGCAGAGCAGAGAGGGCCGCGGCTCAGCTGGAGGGAAGGACTCAGCCCAGCATGAGGAGTAAGGGAGGTCTCCTGCCGCCCAGGGTACGTGTGTGTGCATGCATGTGTAACGGGTTATGATGGGGGGCAGGAGGACTGCGGAGCTCCAAGGAAACCAGCCCGGCTCCGGGTGGATGGGGTGCCCAGCCAATGGGATGCAGAGCCGGCCTCGGACAGGGCAGCTTTGGAGGGCAATCCGTCCCAGTGGGGCTGCTCTGGAGCCACTTTCTCTGAATCATACCAGATGGACTAGCAGTCTGATTCCTCATTTTTCACAGTCGCCACTCGCTGGTGTAGCAAAACACATGCTCTGCAGCGATAAAGTCTGAACGTTTTAGCAAATTAAAAATGTTTATTTATATGCATTTAAAAATATCTCCCTATATAATAAAAGGAAGTACATTTTCATCTAACACTTTCCTTAAATCAGCAACACATCTCCATTCTGGTTTGATGTGAGACCAGGAAAAATAGAGAGAGAGAGGTGGGAAGGGGGAAGGGAGATAGATGATTTACTGGTTAGGATTCCTAAGTAGTTATTCTGCCCAGTACTACCCAAACTTGCTCTGGGATAAGGGAGAGGGGATGGTGTCAAACGTGCTTGGTGGCTGAACTCATGGCCAGTTGTATGATCATAAGACTGGGGCTTCAGTGGGCAGGTGGGCTTATGTGGACAATATCTTCTAGAAGATGCTGGGGTTTTGTTTATTTGTTTGAGGAAGACCAGACTTTTCTAACAAGGGTTGCAGTGATAGGGCAGAGGATGGCAGAAAGGTATGATCTGGAGGGCAGAGCCTGAGTGGGGTCAGACTCCTAGAAGCCAGGACTAACCCCACCTCTGCTTCATGCGGTAATTGTACAAGTCCTGCCTTTTCTTCTTCTTCTTCCTCTTCTTCTTCTCCTTCTTCTTCTTCTTCTTCTTCTTCTTTCTTCTTCTTCTTCTTCTTCTTCTTCTTCTTCTTCTTCTCCTTCTCCTTCTCCTCCTTCTCCTTCTCCTTCTCCTCCTTCTCCTTCTCCTTCTCCTTCTCCTTCCTCTTCTTCTTCTTCTTCTTCTTTCTCCTTCTCCTTCTTCTTTCTTCTTCTTCTTCTTCTCCTTCTCCTTCTTTCTTCTTCCTCTTCTTCCCCTTCTTCCCCTTCTTCCCCTTCTTCTCCTTCTCCTTCTCCTTCTCCTCCTTCTCCTTCTCCTTCTCCTTCTCCTTCTCCTTCTCCTTCTCCTTCTTCTTCTTCTTCTTCTTCTTCTTCTTCTTCTTCTTCTTCTTCTTCTTCTTCTCTTCTTCTCCTTCTTCTTCTTTTTTTTTTTAGTCCTGCCTTTTCTAGGCCTCAGTTTCCCCATCTGAAAAGCATAAGCCTGGACCCATTTGCACTCACAGCCCCAGTGACTGCCACTGATGTTCAGTGGTCACCCCATGATATGTTTGCTTGAGGAAGGCTAAAGTAAAGATCCAGTCCTGGGACTCCGGGGTGGCTCAGTCAGTTAAGTGTCTGCCTCCGGCTCAGGTCATGATCCTAGGGTCCTGGGATCGAGTCCCGCGTTGGGCTTTGTGCTCAGTGGAGAGCCTGCTTCTCCCTCTCCCTCTGCCTGCGCTCTCCCTGCTTGTTCTCTCTTTCTCTGACAAATAAATAAATAAAATCTTAAAAAAAAAAAAAGATCCAGTCCTATTCCCTCCCACGACCCCAAGGCTGGCTCCTCCCAGGGCTGAATCTGGGGGAAGCAGGTGCAACTGGGAAGGTGCCATAAAGAGGCCAGTCTTCCAGGACTCTTGAGCCAATGCCTCACCTCTATTCCCTCTTCCTGTGGTTCTCTGGACTTTCCATAGGGTCTAATGAAACCCACGTGTCTAATGACGGGGTTGTTCAGCAAAGCTGCACCCTGTCCGGTAAGAGAAGTGGTGACAGGCCCTGGGGGAGGGGCACGGGGGTGGTTCCTGCCCGGGCCTTCTTGGATTCAGGAGCCACGGGCTTTTGCCCTCTCCAAAGCCCAGAGATTCCGCGCTCTGTGTGACCTTAGGTATATGATTTCACTCCTCTGAGACCCTTCCCTCAGGTGCAACTGGGGATGCCCAAACCTGTCTTCTCAGGCTGCTGGAAAGAGTTATAAAACAGATGTTGGATATAAGCCTTTATCCAATGAACACAGTAGGGTTTCATGAATGTTCCTTCCCTTCACCTTCATGCCCAAAGGGCTCCTTCCTCCTGCATCTGGAGAGCCCCTGGCCTGCCCTTTGAGGCCAGGCTTAAATAAAGGAGCAGCTGGGTGGGACCTCGGGAGGAGAGGTGGGCCCAGGACCCAGCCAGGCCCTTTTCCCGGGCCTGTGCTTTGATTTAAACCCTTCTTGCCTCCTTCCAGGCTCCAGGGGTATGAGAGGCAACAGGCCCTTATCCTCACTCTCCCCAAAGACTTCCCCATGTTGGTTAATGGTAGGGCAACGGTATGATTTAGTGTCTGAACTGGGACACTTGTGAGTGAAAGGGACATGATCTACAATGCACATGCCAGGTCCACTAGCATATACCAGACCAGTGGGTATGAACACTGTAGCTAATAATTTCCCCTCCTAGTCACAAGCTCACACGAACCCTCACAAGGTCCTGAGAGGTCGGTCAGGCACGGTGTCGCTGATGGCTCATTTTGGAGACGTGAAATGATAACATTCCTAAGGTCATACTGCTGGTGGAGAGGAACCCAGGTGCTCTGATCTAAGTCACAAGCCATCACAACAACACGGTGACGCTTGCTCTGTCTATTCTTGCCCAAACCTCCCTGTATCTCTTTCATCCCAGCAAAAGGAGAAATGTTCCAGACCACCTAGAAGGTCCATGGGGCCTGACTCTGTCACTGGTGTCACTCACAAGCTCTGTGACCTTGAGTGAGGAACTTAGTTTCCTCATCTGTAAAATAGGGATGATGCCATCTGTCTCTCCAGGTCACTGTGTTGAGACAATAAGACCTAGCCCGGGATCTGGCATAATAAATATTGGTAGATTGGACGACTGAATACATATCCGATTCATGTCGGCTGTTCCTTTTGTGGCAGGAGTGGGCAACTCATAGTCAGTCAGTAAGTGTCAGCTGAGCCCCTACTATGTGCCAGGCCCTGTACTACATGTTTTCTATGCACAATCTCCCTGGATTCCTCACATCACTGTAAGGGGGGTAAGATTCTTATCCCCATTTTCCAGATGAAAAGGCATCTTTCATCTGGAAAAGCGCAGCGAGCTTAAGTAACGGGGCAAGGTCACACAGCAAAGGAGGCACTCGATCGCTGAAACCCAGGACCCGGCCCTTAGTGCTCACGCACGTGGCCTGCCTCTCTCCTCGCCCACTGGGGAAAGGGAGGTCACTTGCCCAAGGTCACGCAGGAGACGGTGGCAGAGGACCCCAGAGCTCCGAGGGTTTCCGTCGCGGACCCCCTCCTCCCGCGCTCGGGGCCCCTCCAATCCGCAGCTCTGCGTGCGGGGGCGCGCTCATCCCCCGGCTGTCGGTCCGTCAGCCTGTCTGTCTGGGTGTCTCCGCGGGCGCAGCGGTGCACCCTCCTCAGGCTCGGGCGTTCGCAGCGCCCGGCCCGCGCCCCGCGCCCCGCGCCCCGCGCCCCGCGCCCCGCGCCCCGCGCCCCACGCCCGCAGCCGACAGACCGCAGCGCCTGCGCCCGCGCCCGCGCCCCCCACCCCAAGCCGGTGCGCGGGAGCCGCCGAGGCAAAGTCGCGGCGGCCTGCCGGCGGCGCGATCTCGGCTCCCTCGCTCGCTCTCTGCTCTCAGGGGAAGCCAAGCCGGGAAGCCCAGCCGGGAAGCCCCGGCAACCCGCCCTCCAAGATGAAGAAGCTCCAGGGAGCTCACCAGCGCAAGGTAGGGCAGGAGGACGGGGGCGCACACGGGGGCGGGGGCACACTTGACCTGGGGGTGCAGAGGCCCGCCCCATCCAGGCCCCGGGAGGGTCGGAGAGGGCACCTGGACCGGCTGGGGCTCCTGGGGAGGCCGGGCTGAGCTAGGTTGCAAGGAGGGGCGGGGTCACAGCCTGCGGCGGGGGTGGGGGGTGGGGGGCTTGTCGGGTGGCGACATGGCCTTCCCCATGCCGGGGTCGGGGTGTTGTGTGATGGGGCTGGGGTTCATTTGGCCAGGTCCTTCGAACAGGTGTGTGCAACCCCAGGAGGCATGGGGTAGGGGTGGCTGGGGCCAGGCGCCCGCCCCTTCCCAGTCCCCCACCCGTTTCCCCCAGCGGCTGATTGGGGTTGGGGGTGTTAGAATAGCTGAGCGCCAGCCTTGAGCTGGACTAATTTCGGGGGGGTGGGGGGCCGGGAGCCGCCCTGGTCCTCATCCGTGCGCTCTACACTGAAGCAGCCTCCGAGAACCAGCGGGGACGCTGCCTTTCATGCCGGGGCTTTTGCCCTGCGGGGGGCCACCACCTGCTTCCTCCCCACCACCTTTAGCTTCCCTGCTAAGACTCCATCAGCAGGGTTGACCGGAGGCAAAGGCAAGGAGGAAGGAAATAGGAGACCCAAGGGATATGGGGGTAGGGTGGAAGCTGGCATGAGAGAGGGGGACAAATCTGTGTTTTTGGATCCCTGGGCTGAGATCGCAGCCCCTCCCCACTTCTCCTGTGGGGTTAGTTAGACCTCCCAGCCAAGTAGCCTGTGGGGGTGTGGGAAGGGAGAGTATTGGGTCAAGGTTTCTTGCTTTTGGCTTAAAAGTAGAATTCCTAGCCAAGGAGTCAGAACTCCTGGGCACTCTTTCTGCAGATGCCACCTACCCTGTGACTTTGGGCAAGTCCATTCTCTAACCTGGACTGTCATTTGCCGATCCAGCTCCAGTATCAAGGCACCAAAGTAGGCCCCTGAGTGGGGTTTGGGGTATGTGGTGACCCCACAGGGGCTGGTAGATGTATACATGGGAGAGAGAACTCACAGGGGCTGGTGTCACTGACCCCCCCACACCCCCATTCAAGCCTTCTGCCCCTGTGCAGCTGGGCGTGGAACCGTTGTGATAAGTGGGTCTTTTTTATTTACTGACGTGAATGACTTCTTGGGGCCATTTGTGGGTCTCTTGGGTCTTCTTGGGTCCTGCCCACCATTCTTTCCCATTCTCCTAGTCTCTCCTCTTTCTTTTCTCTCCCCACAAGAGCTCCTGCCCCTCACTGCCACAGGGCCATACAGTGTGTAAATAGCCATGTTCTGTAAAGCCTTATCTCATGTAATCCTCAAAAATTCTAGGGGCTAGGTCTTGTTATCCCTACTTTATAGACAAGGAGAAAACAGACATGGAGGATGCAGCTTGCTGCTTTCCTAAATATGGGCTGAGTGACCTAGGGCCAACAGGGCAGGGGTGGGGCCACCTGGCCTCAGTGTCCTCTCCCTTGGTCTCAAGTGAAGGGGGCAGGGAGGGAGGAAATGCCGGGTATCGGCAAAGGAGCAGCATTGTTAGAGATGAACACTGGGCTGAAAGTCAGGGGTGTGGATTCTGGTCTTGCTCTGCCCTTAACTTGCTATTTGACCTTGGGCTCAGCCCTTCCCCTCCCTGAAACTCAGTTTCCTCATCTGCACAGTGATGAAGCTGGATTCCAGATTTCTATTGTCTCTCTCATCCGGTATACCTGAAGAAGGTATGAGAGTCTTGGCTTGGGGCAGGCTAACCTCTTCCAGCACCTGCCACTGCTGGTGGGGACCTACATCTGTTGGTCCCTAAAAGAGGGGGTGCAGGTCTGGCAAACTCAGTATGATGTTCCTGCGTGAGTCGGGATAGGCAGTGGGGGAATCGGGGGTGGGATCTTCACACCCAGACCCAAGTGTGAAGCGACTCATTAAGCTTCCAACCCTGCCCCATTGATTTGGTTACTTGTCTCCCAGCCAGTCACATCCTCTCTGTGCCAGCCTCCTGGGATTCACCCCATGGTGGGGTTGGGGGCTCCAGGTGGTCTTGGGATTGGCTCATCTTTGGAGGACCCAATCCCCTGTCCCTGGAGCAAGAGCAGGCTTCCCTCTGATTGGGGGGAGGAGGGGGACAGGAGAGCTGGCAGCATCCTGCTCTTGGAACTCCTGTCACCATGGAAACAGAGAGCCGGGACTGCTCTGTGAGCAGAGAAAGGGCAGCAGCTTCTCAGGAGGGATCAGAGGAACCTCATTACTGGGCCCTCCTGCCAGCTGGCCTGAACAGGGCTGGGGGCGCTCACGGGGTGACCAGCCTGCCACACTACCCCATAGCAGGGGCCAGTGTTAACTGGCGGCTCCTCCATCCCTCCTGGAGCTCACCTGGCAGGGAGTGATTCCAGAGGGCCGATGCTCACCCAGCTGGGGAGGAACCTTGTGGAAAGGGGCATCAGAGGGCGGGTGCGGGTTTCAGAGAGGTCCAGGGGCTGCTACTATCCTCAGCCCAGCATGTCTGAGATCACCGCAAGCCCAATTACTGGAAAAGCGGCTTGTTCACGTTCATTATCGCCAGCATTGCCCTCACCCATAATTATGCCAGGTTGTCCTTGTTACCACTGCCCCTCTGGCCAATAGCCAGCCTCAGGCAGGATCGTTACCATGGTCGCCACTGTCCCTGGGAGCCAACCCAAGACTGTTACCCCCATCCTGCCCCCCCAAACCCGTTGCCTCGACCCTGTCACTGCACCCAGACACCTCCAGTCCTATGACACCTGCAGTCTCCTTTCACCGTCTTTATCCCGGCAATGCTCATAGGACAAATCCCCTGCAGAGCCTCCTCTGTCACCACCCAATTTGTGTGTAGACACCTACTTGGCTGGTGTCAGGAAGGGCAATTTTAGGGGGAAAAAATATCTGGCCAGTAGACAATTACCAAGTCCCCGTGCTAGGACCCGATCTGGTCTTCAACCACTGCGAGTGTCTCCAGGGGAGTCTCTGGTGAAGCTTGCCTCACAGACCATTAGAGCCAGAAGGCTAACAGATACACCTACATTTCTCTCAGTAAATCTCAGCATGCTAGCTTCTTAAAATCCTTTTCTTAAATAGAATTGCAGAATACTGTCTATTCTAGTCAGTCGCAGTGGGTTATTGGTGCATTAAAGGATCTGACAAGTCCTGCAGCAAAGAAAACTATTTTGCTTTGTGTTAACCCAGTGTTCCCCAAACTTCTTTGACTCAAGAATCCTTTTCTTACACTGAGCACCCATGAGCATCCCAAGGGCTGTGTTTTTTGGAAACACCGATTTATTCAATCCCCTCAGTGTAGAGATGGGGAAACTGAGGCTCAGAAAACTCTTTCCTCAAGTCACACCCTGAAGTGGCACAGACCTGGGACTAGAATTGTAGTCTCCTGACTCCCAGTCAAGGTATCACTGTTTTCCCACAACCATTCCTCAGCAGAAGCAGGGGGTCCTTTCTCCTCTCTCAGAACCATGATGTTATTGGACAATTGGCCTTCTTTGCAGCTCCGTCCTTCTCTGTTATGGGTGTGAATTTCAGAGGCAAGTGGGAAGGGCATGGCTGCCCCTTTCTTCTGACCCATTCCAGGAGACACTTTGGGGGAACTGCTCTCTGAATTTTATTTTATTTATTTATTTAAAGATTTTATTTATTTATTTGAGAGAGAGAGAATGAGAGAGAGAGAGAGCATGATGGGGGGAGGGTCAGAGGGAGAAGCAGAATCCCCATGAGCAGGGAGCCCGATGCGGGACTCAATCCCGGGACTCCAGGATCATGACCTGAGGCAAAGGCAGCCACTTAACCAACTGAACCACCCAAGTGCCCTTTTTTTTTTTTTTTAAGATTTTATTTATTTATGCTCTCTGAATTTTAGATAGTTAGCCTGGTATCTTTGAGTTTCATTGCAGGCCCTCAGCTTGGGCCATCAGCTCATTACCCCCAGCCAGCATTTCAAGCAGCTGGGGAAGGGCCTCCATTTCCCAGCCCCAGGCTGGAGGGAAAAGGCCCAGTGGACTTCCCCACCCTCCTTGAATCGCAGGCAGGGATCTTAGGGACAGCTGGCTGCCGCTCCCCTCTGTGCCTGCCTCTCTCCTTCAGGGACAAGAAGGTTATGACTTCTGTGAGACAGATCCAAACTCAGTAGCCTCTTCCTGCTCATGAACTAAAATTCACAGTCCTCCATAGGCCTCCTTGAGCCACGAGAGCATAAGTCGAATTCCTCCCTCGGGGGAGGCCGTGTTCCCTCCAAGTCCTCTTCTTTCTGTGCTGAGGGCCCCCACTTCTTCCCCTGTCCTCCTGTCACTGTTTCTCCTGAACACCGTCCTTTCCGGCCATCTGCCCTGTAGACATGCTCCGAGCTATCTGTGTCTTTCTTAAAATGCGGTGCCCGGAACGGAGTAGCAAAGGCCAGCACCGGAGGTTGAAGACACGGGCTTCAGTGCTGGGAAGCGCTGGGCGTGAGAGCTAGCTCTCCACCAGCCAGCCTTCTAAAACCGCGGCTATGTCATGACCCCTCTCTGAGCCTCTGTGGTCCTCGTGATTGAAACAGAACTTAGACAAGTACTTAGCTCAGAGGCTTTGAGAATGAAATCAGGCAAAACGTTTAGTGCACTGAGCACACAGTAAGAGCTCAAGACATGGTAACTATTATTAAGATCATCATCGTTGTCATCATCAACCTAGGACCATCCCTCGATTTGACCTCTCTGTTAACCGAACTAAGATCGAGGTGGCTTTCTTAGCGCCTGAGCCACCCTGCTGGCCTCATAAATTTGTAGTGACCAGCCACCCCGAGGAGCTCCTGCAAATGACATATTAGCCCAGCTAAGAGCAGTTGATTTTCTCAACCTAGAGTATCTTTGCATTCAGCCCTGTTTGATTTCATCTTCTTATTTTGGGGGTGGGGTGGGGCTGTGTCACAGTTCCAACCTGGCCTCACCTCTTTGGTCTCTTCTACCGGCAGCCCATTACCCCAGACCTGCTGATGACCCCCAGTGACCAGGGTGATGTAGACCTGGACATGGATTTCGCCGCCGACCGGGGGAACTGGACAGGCAAGCTGGATTTCCTGCTGTCCTGCATTGGCTACTGCGTGGGCCTGGGCAATGTCTGGCGTTTCCCCTACCGGGCCTACACGAACGGAGGAGGTAGGGGCCGGAGGGCCTGCTGGAGGGGCGTCTAGGCTTGTAGGCCAAGACTTGGGGTGGAGTGAGGTTTTCAGTGGCTTTGGCCACCATCTCCTATGTGGCCTTGAGCAGGATTCACCGAAAGCAGTGACATGGAGCTGGGAGAAGTGAGCTCTCTCTGCCTTGTGTTTTTTCATCACCCAAACCCCTCCTCCTCCTCTCATGCCCAGGGTGGATACCTCCTCACCTCTCCCCTGAAGCCTGGGCCCTTCCCGGGCCCTGAGTGATGGGCAGAGAAGCTGCCTCTGCTTCATGACAGCAGGCTGTACCCACCTGGCAGCGATCACTGTGCTCTCACAGTTCTCCCACCCGCCCTCCTCCCCCCACCCACCAGTCCTTCCCGCTTGTGAATCTTCGATCTGTCCTCCTCTCCTGGTTCCTTCCGTTCAGACTACAAACACGAAGCCCATCCTATCTTAAATAAATCCTCTGTTGTCCGTGCTTCACCATCAAGTGACTGTTCTGAGTCTCATTAACAATAGCTGGCGTTGAGCACTTACCCTCTGCCAGCCCCAGGCATTTAACCCTGATGACAGCCCTCCTGGGCGGGCACGGTTGTCCTGATGTGACAGCCGGGGCTTGGAGAGGCCAGGTTCCTTGTCCAAGGTCGCCCGCTGGGCGACCCAACATTCCACCTCCAGGACGACCTGCCCCAGAGCCAGTGTGCTCCTACCCACCCTCGAAGCCTCCTCCCGTCTCTGCCAAACTCATGGAAGAGGCACCTATTGGCAGAGTGGCAGAAATCCAAACAGGAGGGGATGAGGCGAGGACAAGATGAATGGCCGTGACCGGGAAGCGTGGGACTGGAGCTGGGGTCTGACGCTCTAGGAACTCCATAATGGCCACAGTTCTGTGGACTCTCCCTTTCCCTGGCTCCCAATTCTGTTTCTCTCTGGGTGCTGACCTCATTTTCTCCTGGGACCGGCTCCCTCCTTGCAGTTGGGTGGCGGGTGGCCACAGACAACTCTACAATGACTTCATCCTCAGAGCTGCGCTCTCTGGGTGCGGCCATATGCAACGGCAGGGAAGGTCTCTAACCGGCCCGCCTTGGGAGCCCGGCCCCTGTGGGGGTGGGGGTGGGGCGGCGGGTGTGACTGACAGCCCTTCCAGAGCCCTGTCGTGGGGGGCAGTCTTCTAAAGGAGCTGCCTGTCAATAGGGGAAGCAAATGGGGAGAGGTATTGGGCACATGCGACCACTGGTGGCAGCCAGAAGCCCCTAAGGTGGCATGGCAGAGAGGACAGGGGGAGGTCTATTGGGGCCAGATCCCGAGCACGTTCATTTCCTACTGAGGAGTTTGCGCTTTCTTTGGCAGGGAATTCACTCATATTCCTTCAGTCACTCAGTGTTTGCTCTGAGCCCAGCCCTGCTCTGGGCACTGGGGCTGCAGAGGAGGGTAAAGCCCCACGAGCCCCTGTAGCCCTCTGTGATCTGGTCCATCCACAGGAGAAGTGCTCCGTGGGGTTGCAGGTGTCTGCCATCAGGAGAGGGGCGGGGCTGGAGCTGGGCTTTAGGGGAGCCGGCCCACCTGAGACCTTCCCCTGACTGCCCTCCTCGTCCGCACAGGCGCCTTCCTCGTGCCCTACTTCCTCATGCTGGCCATCTGTGGCATCCCCCTCTTCTTCCTCGAGCTCTCTCTGGGCCAGTTCTCCAGCCTGGGACCCCTGGCCGTCTGGAAAATCAGCCCCCTCTTCAAAGGTGAGGCCTCATAGTCCCGGCAGGGGCCTGGGCCCGGGGGGAGGCAGGGAGGTTGTCCTCCATGACCCAGCCTCTAGGAAGAGGGAAGTGAAGCCCAGACAGGGGATGGCTTCCAGGGCCACACAGCCTGGCCTGCAGAAGGCTTGACCTGAGGGCAGCCCCCTCTCCCCCACGCCCAGGTGCCGGCGCCGCCATGTTGCTCATCGTAGGCCTGGTGGCCATCTACTACAACATGATCATCGCCTACGTCCTCTTCTACCTCTTCGCCTCCCTCACCAGCAACCTGCCCTGGGAGCACTGTGGCAACTGGTGGAACACGGACCTCTGCCTTGAGCACAGAGGCTCCAAGGATGGCAATGGGGCCCTGCCCCTCAACCTCACCAGCACCGTCAGCCCCAGCGAAGAGTACTGGAGGTCAGGCCACTGCCAGCCCAGCAGCTGTCTGGGAGGGCCCCGAGCTGCTGGGGATGGGGTGGGGGGGGACTGGGGGCAGGAATGTGCCAGGGTCCCCAGGGGGCTCAGCGTGCACCTGGAAGGCCGAGTCCAGGTGCTGGTGTTAGGTGGACCCCGGGTTCTAATTCCAGCTCTTCACTGACCAGCTGTGTGACCTTACACAATGTACTGAGCTTCCGGTGCTTTATCTTTGAAGTGGGTATGGGAATAGCATTCTGAGGGTCGTTGTGAGGATTAAGGGAAGGAAGGTATAAGTTGCACCCCAGCCTATTGGATAATCATGCTGGGTAAACGCCAGCTGATAATCGAGATGCTGCTGACACCAATAATAGTAACCTTGCTGGCCACAGCTTTACCCCATGCCCACGGAGTGTGGCGGGCTGACCAGAGGACACTCAAATCTTCCTCTCCCACAGCCGCTATGTCCTCCACATCCAAGGCAGCCGGGGCATTGGCAGTCCCGGGGAGATCCGCTGGAACCTCTGCCTCTGTCTGCTGCTGGCCTGGGTCATCGTGTTCCTCTGTATCCTCAAGGGCGTGAAGTCCTCGGGCAAGGTGAGGCCCGGGAGGTCCTAGAGGCCTGAGGGGCTGGGAGGGGTGAGGGTTTCCTGGAGGAGGCAGCTAGGGCATGGACTGAGTCTGAGAGGATGAATAAACGTCGACAGGGAAGAGGTTGGGGGTAGGAGTGGGGGGTGGGGGTCGGAGGCACTGCCTGGAGGAAGATTTGGAGGTGAGGATGGATGGTGGCCAGGCTGGTTCACCAGACCGGAAACTTGCCAAGGACAGGACCTGTTACTCAAGTTTGTATCCTAACAGAGTGCTTGGCACTTTGAAGAGGCTCCTCGGGTGTTTGTTGAATGCTTGGAAGGTGGGTCTATGACTCAGGGTGGTGGGGGCTTTGGGAATGTGCAGTGGCGGATGACCACACAGGGTGGGTTGCATGGGCTGGGGGCAAGGGGAGTGGACACATGGAGGGGGAGAGTCTCATCAACCCTAGGCAAGGCCTCCAGGCAAGGGCCAAGGGTGGCCTGGAGCAGGGCACAGCAGAGCTGGAAAGGGTGGATGGGTTGGGGATGCTTTGAGAAGCAGTGACAGGACTTTAAAGAGGGATCCATGTGCAGAGGGAGGGAGGCAGGGAGGGAAAGAGAAGCATCATGGATGGTGGCTGTTCTCAGCTTGCGAGTTAGGTAAGATGGGGAATTCTGGAAGAGGAACAGGATAGAAGGAAGGTCACCTCGGCCTTCCATCCCCACTTATCACTCTCAGGTGGTGTATTTCACGGCCACGTTCCCCTACCTCATCCTGCTCATGCTGCTGGTCCGAGGAGTCACCCTCCCAGGGGCCTGGAAGGGCATCCAGTTCTATCTCACCCCCCAGTTTCACCATCTGTTGTCTTCCAAGGTGAGGTCCTCGGGGCTGCGGTGCAGAGGGAGGGGTCAGGCCTGAGCCAGAGAGTAGAAGGAGGAGGGCTCCCTGGGGAAAAAGGGGCAATGGGTAGGAATCCTCCCTGTGGTGGGCCCCCAGTACCAGACCCTGTGCTCTGCACTGTGCTCAACACTGTATGTCTTTTTCGTTTCTTGTTCTTCACTGTCCTACAAAGTAGACATTATTCTGGGGCACCTGGCTGGCTCAGTCAGAGGAGTGTGCGACTCCTGATCTTGAGGTCATGAGTTTGAGCCCCACATTGGGTGTAGAGATTACTAAAAAAATAAATCTTAGAAAAGGGTAGACATTATTCTCCCATTTTACAGATGAAGAAACTGAGGCCTGAAAGAATGATAAGCTTAAGATCACACGGCTAGGGGGTGGCAGAGCTGGAATTCCAACCCAGATCTGTCTGACTCCAAACCCCAAGGAGGGCATTAGGTAATGATGGAAACAGTGGTGCCGACAGCTAACATTTCTTACTTATTAACTGCCAACGGGCTGACCCTGCACTTGGCATGGATGCAGTCATTAAACCTTACCACCACCCTATAAGGGAGCTACTGTTCTTATCCCTGCATTACAGAGGGGGGACCCTAGGCTCAGAGAGGCGATGTGGCCTTGCGAAGGCCATACAGCCGCAAAGTGGGGCAGGTGGAATCAAATCCAGGCCCCTCCAACTCCAGGGGTTCCATGGGCTTGTTGTCAATATGGATCTACTGGAAATTCACATAAGACACTACTTCCTTCAGAATTGGACCAAGCTTAGCCATCATCTAGATCCTGGATGGGGAAATTGAGGCCCAGAGAGGGAAAGGGACTTACCCGAGTCCCCCGTGGAAGTGCTAGAACAGGGTTTGCCCCGGCCCATGTCATTTTGAGTCACGCCCTTCACCACGCCGTCAGCTGGACCTGTGGACTTGCTCCCGCCCCACCTCCTCCCTCCTCTTTCCGTGGCCCTCTGGACAGGGCCACGGCGTGCCAGCCCTTCTCTTTGCTCTCCATCTGCATCCTTCCCTGCCACAGGTGTGGATCGAGGCTGCTCTTCAGATCTTCTACTCCCTGGGTGTGGGCTTTGGGGGTCTCCTCACCTTTGCCTCCTATAACACGTTTCACCAGAACATCTACAGGTGAGTGCAGCCTCCCAGACCCCGCGGCCCAAGCAGGGAGGAGAGTGGCCGGCCAGGGCAGGCCCTGTGGGCTGGGGGCGGGGCCAGCTTGCTCTGGCCTGGACCTGTGTGCCCGGACGTCCCCCGGCAGAGACACCTTTATCGTCACTCTGGGCAACGCCATCACCAGCATCCTGGCTGGCTTCGCCATCTTCTCTGTGCTGGGCTACATGTCTCAGGAGCTGGGTGTGCCCGTGGACCAAGTAGCCAAAGCAGGTGGGCAGGCGGGCCAGCCCTGGGGGTGAGGGTGCGTGTTGGGGACTGCCGGGGCCGGGCGAGGGAACATACGTGTGCACCAGCAAGGTTGTGGATGGCTACATCCCGTGAGTGTGTGAATGGGCGCCCACACAAATGAACGTATCTTAACTGGTCTCTGGGTGTCCAAGTGCAAAGGGGGTGGGAGGGCAACGGAGTGTGTCCGGAGATAAATGAATGTGTGTACGACATTGTCTTAGGTTTTGTCACATCTTAGTAGCTTGCCTTGCTTGTCCAAATGAGTCATTTCCTGTGTAGCGATGTCTTGTGCAAGTGAACTGAGGGTTCAACTGATGATGCGAAGCAGTGTTTGTGCTGGTGGACGTGTCCACGTATGCGTTGGTGGGGTTGTCTGTGTGAATGATGGTGCACATAAGTGTATTCAAATGAGGCCTTATACCGAGTCTTGTGTTTCTTCCTGTACTCATTATTAATTCATTTATTTTGTCCACCTGTGTTCATTGAGCACCGACAGCGTTTACTGGCCGGCGTCCTAGGAGTTAAGTGTCGGAAGTGTGCAGTTAGGGTGCATCTCTGCGTTTCGCTTAACTAGTGTGCCCACGTGGGTGGAAGCGACCATGTGTGTTTGAGTGTGCCTGTGGGGGCCTGCCTCGGGCCCCAGGCTGCTGACCCTTTGTGCCCTTGGCCCAGGCCCCGGCCTGGCCTTTGTCGTCTACCCACAGGCCATGACCATGCTGCCTCTGTCGCCCTTCTGGTCCTTCCTTTTCTTCTTTATGCTGCTGACTCTTGGCTTGGATAGCCAGGTGAGCCTTGTCTGTGTCAGCGGGCACCTTGTGGGGGGGGGGGTGCGACGTGTGCGTGCGTGTGTCCATCTGCGACGTGTCTGTGTGTATGACGTAGCTGTGTGTGTGTGTGATGTGTGTCTATCTGTGTGGAGTGTGTCTCTGTGTGAGCGTGTGTGTCCGTGCACGTGTGTATGTGTGTGTGGTGGAGGCAGAACTCCGACCCTCCCCTCCCCTCCCCCCAGTTTGCCTTCCTGGAGACCATCGTGACAGCTGTGACTGACGAGTTCCCTTACTACCTGCGGCCCAAGAAGGCTGTGTTCTCGGGGCTCATCTGCGTGGCCATGTACCTGATGGGGCTGGTCCTCACCACTGACGTGAGTGCTGCGGGGGGTGGGGGGCAGCCAGCAGGGGAGGCGAGGCCGGGCGCCTGCAGCAGTATCCGTGACTGCCCCCTGGGCTACCTGCTTCTTCCTCTTCGGGAGGAAGCTAGCCCAACCCAGGCCCTCTACCCAAGGGCAGCCTGGCCTCTGGCCCAGAGTCCTGACTTCAAGCCCGGCTCTCCCACTTGCCAGATGACCTCAGGACAAGGGGCTTCCCCTTCCTCAGCCTGTGTTTCCACCAATAAAATGGGGTCTACATCTAGGATTGTGGTGGGGCTCCAATAAGATGATGTGTGTAAAGGGCTCGGCAGGTGGGCCGCGGTCACACGGTCATCGTCTTGCTGTCACCGCTGGCCTGGGCTCGCACTAGGGAGCAAGACTGGGGTGAGGGAACCCCAGAGCTGTGGCTTGTGTTCTAGGGAGGCATGTATTGGCTGGTGCTTCTGGACGACTACAGCGCCAGCTTCGGGCTCATGGTGGTGGTGATCACCACGTGCCTGGCCGTCACCCGGGTGTACGGTGAGAGGGGCCGTGCGAGAGGGAGTGAGGCTCCCCCCGTGGGAGGATGGGAGTCTACTCTGGAGCCCCCCTGCACTGGGTCCCGGGTCCCAAGGGCCAGGGTCTCCAGTGGGGGCAGTGGCATGGAGGGGGAAGGGGCTGCTGGTGCTTGGGGGGGGGGGGGGGCTGCTGGTGGGGCCATTCTCCTCCCCTCCCCTCCCCTGCGCAGGCATCCAGAGGTTCTGCCGGGACATCCACATGATGCTGGGCTTCCAGCCGGGCCTCTACTTCAGGGCCTGCTGGCTGTTCTTGTCCCCGGCCACGCTCCTGGTAACTGGTGGGAAGGAGGGATGGGGCCCAGGGCTGAGAGTAGGGTCCCCCTCTGGGCATTCAGTCTGGAAGGCTGCTCTGGCCCAGAGTGGACCTCTGTCCGGGCTGAGGGGTGGGTGGGCACCAGGATCTGGGTCTACTCCCCCCTGCCTCGATGCCCCCAGCTTTTGTAGCTGTGCTGGGCCTAGCCCCGCGTGTTGTTAGCAAAATGAGGGGGGCTTTCCCAGGCACCAGGGCCTTAGGGCTGGGGCTTTAGACTGGTGTGTTGGTGCATGTCTGTGCTTTCTGGGCCTTGGAGTTGGAGTTCAGGCACAGGCTATCTCAAGAACTGGGTGCTTCAGAGCTGGGCTGTCTCAGGCCTCACAAAGGCTCCAAGGATGGACCATCTCAGGTTCTATACAGCTTAGGACTGGGTTGTCTCTGACACTGGGTAGCTCTGGGCTGGGCTCTCTCAGGCCTTCAGGTAGCTCAGACCTGGGCTGTTCTAAGCCCTGGGGCCTGCCCAAAGCCCACTGAGATGCTGGGGCCCCCACCTGCAGGCCCTGCTGGTGTATAGCATCGTCAAGTACCAGCCCTCAGAGTATGGCAGCTACCGTTTCCCAGCCTGGGCAGAGCTGCTGGGCATCCTGATGGGCCTGCTGTCCTGCCTCATGATCCCAGCCGGCATGTTGGTGGCTGTGCTTCGGGAGGAGGGCTCGCTCTGGGAGGTAAGTCTGCCTGGCCCTTGTCTGCCCCTGGCCTTCCTGCCCTGGGGCCCTGCCCTGGGCCCACCTGCTAGAACAGAAAACATCTGCGCCAGCACCTTACCCAGGGCCTCACAAGCTTTTCCAACCAGTAGCCTGAGCTATGAATCCTCTCAGACCTGCTGGGGGTGAGGCAGGCTCAGGGGGCTTAGGGTCCTCCCCTGTGGCCCCTGGCACCATGCGGGGCCTCTGGGGGTGGGGGAGCACAATCCCAAGACCACCGATGTTGGCCAATGCCCACATATCTCGGGGAGAGGACAAGGGAATGGCCCAGGATCCTACTGTGAGTCAGGCAGGGGTCAGGACTGGAACTCTGGTCACCGGCCCAAAGCTTCCCTATGGGAACTCAGGGTCAGAAGGCAAGATTGAGAGACCCCGAGGGTGGGCTGCAGCCCATGGGTGACCTGGGAATGCACTGATGGTGGGAGCCCTGCCCACGCCAGGCTTTGTGAAGAGATCCAGAAAACACAGAGAATGCAAGCTGTTTGGGCATGGGGATCTGCAGGTCTCAGAAGAGGGGAGTGGACCAGTGAGTGTGCGGTGAAGCTAGGTGACCACTGCAATGTTCTGGCCCTCTCTGAGCCTCACTGCACTCTCTGCACTTCTGAGGCCATGCGTGTGGAGTCCCTCTGGTTGGGGGAGGTTGTCATAGAGAGCAGAGCTGAGTGAGCCTGCTAGGGTCTGGAGAGAGCCTAGGGACCCCAACCCATACCCCATAGATCCCATCAGGACTATGCTGGAGCCAGCTGGTACTGTCTCATGATAGCTAATTGTTAAATTTTCAGGGATGTTGTGAGCTGGTTTGAAATCGATCTTGGTGGGAATATTTATACCACTGGAATCGGCTACAAATCAAGCCTCCTGCGCCCCTCCAACCACTGCCCGCAGCCCGCTTGCCATCACCCTGCTGCCCCCACTCCCCATACAGCTGCACTGTGCCCTCAGCTGTCCCTCATCCCACCCTCATATCTGCCCCTGGAAAGTCTCAGAGCCTTTCCCCAGCAGAAGTGGGTTGTGGCCACAGCACCAGCCCGCAGGGGCAGTCCCGGGGTCCAGCCACTGCTGTGTGTGTGCCTGGGGGCAAACCCCTGGCCTGCTCTCAACCTCGGGAGCCCCACCTTGCTGCTAAAGGAAATGCGTCTCCTTGCTTGAGAGCCAAGGTGTCTGCAAAGGAAAGGAGGAGAGCAGGGTTGCTCAGGGTAGAGGGCTCCAGCCCCCTGGAAGTTCATGGTTCCCAAGACTTGCTACGCTTCCCTCTTGCCCTGCTGCCACAGCCGCCAACCGCCAGGCCCAGGGCCGTGTTGTTGGGTGGGGAGCACTGCAGAGGAGTCCTTGCCCGGCTCTGGAGACCTTCAGAGACCAGGGCTTCCAGCACTGACACCCTAGGAAGAATTGGGGTCTGCCTTCTGCCAGCTGTGTGACCCTAAGCAGTTAATGCACCTCTCTGAACCTTGCTTTTCTCTGTCCTTAAAGTGAGGACAGTGATCCTTCCCCTAAGGCTTGCTGTGAGAAGAAAAGAAGCTCATCAGTGTTGTCAGAACCGTGAAGGGCAGAAAAACAGAGTATTTTAAAAGTTTAGGATGGAGTCAGACTGCCTGGAGTCAAATCCCAGCATCGCCACTTGTCACCTGTGTGACCTTGGCCAAGTTGACTAACCTTGCTGAACTTGACTTCCAGATAATATCTGTGGGGGTGGAGGGTGAAAGGCCTAATGCCCCCTCACAAGGACGCTGTAAGGATCGAAGAAGCCCACACTTAGCACAGAGCTGGAACATGGTGAATGTTTTGTTCCACACCGGGGATTCTCACGGGGGTGATTTTGCTCTCGGAGGCCATTTGGTAGCATCTGGAGGCATTTTGCTTGTCATAATAGAATGGTGTGCACAGCGGGTGGTACTGGCTTCCAGTGGGAAGAGAGCTGGGATGCTGTTAAACCCCCCTCAGTGTGCAGAGAGCTCTTACACACGGACTCTCCAGCCAAAATGTCCGGAGTACTCAGGTTGAGAAGCATTGGTCTAGGCTCTAGTGTTCAGCTGGGAACGAATCTAAGTGCTTGCTCTCAGGGACCTTGGATTTTAATGTGGGAGATAGACAATAAACAAATACACAAAGGTAGTAGTAAGTGCTATATTTTAAAAATAATTTAAAAAACTAAAACAAAGGCAAAGTTTAGGAATAGAGAATGATGGGAAAGTATTTTGGCCAGGGTGGCCGGGAAGACCTCTGAGGGGGTGACAGACACCTGACCGAACCAACAAGGTGATCGATATAGATATCTAAGGGGAGAGCATTCCAGGCAGAAGGACAATCAGTGCAAAGGTCCTGAGGCGGGGGGGTGCTGGCATGTCTGAAGGCAGCAAGGTCAGCAAGACTGGATCAGAGTGGGTGTGGGTGGAAGGAGAGTGGCAGGAGCTGAGGTCAGGTAGGTAGACAGGGCCCAGGACATAGAGGCCGTGGTGGGCACTTTGGGTCTTATTCCAAGTGAAATGACAAGCCACAGGCAGGTTTCTGAGCAGGGGGGTAACATGCTCTACAACAGTTCAGTAAGTGTCACCACGCTTTGAGTGTGGAGCCATGCTGGGTCCCAGGCTAAGGGCTCTGCACACATTATCCTCCTTGAATCTGCACCTAGTAGGCTCCACTTAATGTTGATTGTCTATCCTCCTTCAGGGGTCTGGGGCTCTTCTCCCCGCAGGGCAGGCATAGGGCTTTGGGAATGTGGTTTGGGAAGGGAGGAACCCTAGAAAGTCCAGACTTAGTCATTACCTTAGTCACCTCCCTCCTTCCATGGAAACTGGAGCTCGAGGAGGAAAGGTCAGACATCAGAGTCAGAATGAGGCCAACTGGGAGACACTGGAGGGTCAGCGACGACCCCGGCTGCAGTGCCCCCAGCTCCTGGCTCTTCCCCAAAGCTCCCCACTGCTTAGGACTCAGCATTTAGGGGAAAGGACCCAGAGTGGGCTCCTGGATTGGCTGGCAGGTAACCCTAGCCTGTTCCCGGCACCCCTCTAAGTGCTCCATCTCAGTGCCTGCTGATCACCCTACGAAGGCATCACGATCCCCCAGTGACAGAGGGGGAAACCAAGCATGGAAAGCCTAAAACCCATGCCCAAAGGCCACCCGGCTTGTGAGTGGCCAAGCAGGACTCTCACAGGGCACGTGACTCATTCCCCTGGGGACCTCCCCACCCCCCATGCCCCGGGATTGTTGCTGGGGCTGACACAGGTGACGTGGTGAGGTCTGTGCGGGGTGCCCACCCGCAGGAAGCGCTCCACGAGCGCCAGCCACCCCCGTTTTCACCGCTGTCCTTGCTCTGCCACAGCGGCTCCAGCAGGCCAGCCGACCGGCCATGGACTGGGGCCCGTCGCTGGAGGAGAACCGGACTGGCATGTACGTGGCCACGCTAGCGGGGAGCCAGTCGCCCAAGCCACTGATGGTGCACATGCGCAAGTACGGGGGCATCACCAGCTTCGAGAACACGGCCATCGAGGTGGACCGCGAGATCGCTGAGGAGGAGGAGTCTATGATGTGAGGCGGGAGGCCGGGGGCCAGGAGGCTCTGCCCGGCTGCGAAGGCTAGCCGTGCCCCGTGGGGTTCCGAGAGGCCCGAGGCCGTGGCAGGGCGCCACGGGGATGCCAGTGCCCAGGGCAAGTCCTTTCTTGTGGCCTCTCCTCTCTGTCTACCTTCTCCCCACACGCACACAGACCCACTCAAAGCTCAGTCCTCATCGTGCAGATGGGTGAACTGAGGCCAGGGAGAGGGCCTTGCCCGAGGTCACATGGCGGAGGGCACTGGACCCCAGGCCGCCTGGCCAACCAGTTTCCTTTCTCATGTGGCGGTTGGCATCATTCTCTCCTCTGTTCAGGGCCCAGGCTCCTCCACTCTTTTCTAGGAAAGTCTGTCCCCACACATTTCAAACAGCCAGAATCTCGAGCTGGGCAGGGACGCTCAGGGCGTGGCGAGGCCCCCAAGGTCCCAGGCCTCGAGGGTTAGCAAGTGCAGTGGGAGAAAAGCCCTGTGGGCTCCTGTGCCTGGGCCAGGTTTCCTGAAGGAGGTGGGGTCTGAGGGCCCTGGAGGATGGGCAAGTTGGGAGGGAGAGAGGAGGAGGAGGGCAGGGTGTGGAGGCCCCAGTGTAGCCCCTGTGCCCCACCCCCCAAGCCCAGGGCAGAGGTCAAGGTGTTACCAGATTACAGCAGGGTCCAGGTGGGAAGGACGCATGAGGGGGAGGGGGAGCAGGGGACAAGGGGCGGGCAGGGGTTTGCATGATCTGGTCGTGCTTTAGATAGAATCTCTATCAGGTCAGTGTGCAGGGTGGATTAGAGGGGATGGGGTGGAGGTGGGAGGCCTGTGGAGGGCAGGCAAGAGGGGCTGGTGGCCTGAGTGAGGGGGTGGGGGTGGGGAAAGGAGGAGGTCCCCACACTTTTCTTTCCCCCAGAGAAACTAATGTATTTTATTTTGACCCACACTTCTGAGAAGGGCCCACAGCTTTCCTCACTGGACCCTGTGCCCTCCCGTGTAGGGAGCCCTGGGAATGATTAGGACAGAGGACACAAGTGAAGAGGTGGGAGTGAGGGCTCGTAGTCAGGACCCAAAGCCCCACCATTCTCTTCTCCCTGTTCTGGTGGCCCTCACTGTCTTCTCCAGCTCCAGGCACTGCTGGGAGACTGGCCTTGGCTGTGGACCCACCAAGGCAACTAAGAGGCTTGGAGGTGGTCCGCACACATGGCTGGCTGTCCTGATGCTGGGCCCGGGGCATGAGGATGGAGGCAGGGAGCCAAGGACAGCCAACACCTCAGGCCTGTGGCCAGAGGCCTTGGCGTCTTCAGTCCCAGGCACGGGAGGGGCTGCCCTGGGGTCCCTCCTTCCCTGAGAGATGAGGGTGGAGCGTGAAAACGTGCCCCCCGGGGGGGGCAGGGCACCCTCATGCAGCTGGGCCGGCCTGTGCGCCCTCTTTCTCTCCTGCTGTCTCCCCAACCCATCCATGTTCTGTTGGTTTATTGTTAATAAACACCAATGAGGTCATCCTTCTTACCCTTTCTCCTTACTGCTGAGAACCTGGGGGTGGGCAAGCACAGGGTTTTCCAGCTTCTGTAGGACGGATGAGGGGACTGAGGCTTGGCTCTCCTGGCTTCTGACACTTGCTGTCCCATTTCTCTGTGGCACTGGCGGTGGCGGGGGGGGGGGGGTGGATGTTGAGGAAGGGCGGTGAAGATGAGGAAGCCACTCAGCCCCCGGTACGTATACGGACAAACTGAGGCCCTTCAAGGGGAAGACTGGCTCAAGGTTACCCAGCTGAGCTCCCCTCCCCAGCCCCAGCTGTTCTCCGGCCTTATCAGCAGGTGCAGCTGGGGCTGGAAGGATTTCCTGGTGCTACCCACCCCCTCCTGGCAGGACCTGGCCGCATAAAAGAGCCCTAGGGCCTTTCAAATGCGAGGCCCAGGTGTTCGGGAAGGCTTTGATTGCGGGTGGAGAGAAAGGGCTGCCGCATATTTCGGATATTAATAAATTTCCCCTAACAAAGGGCCAGGCCCCCTCCTGCCCCTCTTTGTTTGGGGCTCTAGATGGAGGAAGAGCATGGGTTTGCTAATTTGCTGAGGGCTCAAGAATGGCCTTCACAATTCAAGGTGCCTCTTCCCACACCCTGGGGGCAGGCTCCAGCCTTGCTCACAGAGCCCCTGGGGCCAGCTCAGGAGGAAGCCCTCTCCAGGCCCTCCAGGCTCCCTCTAGGACAGGCCCCAGCGGCCCCCCCCCTCCCCCGCGCCCTGCCGGGGCCATGGTCCTATGAGGACTCCTCACCCAACCTCTTGGCTGCAGCCTGGGGTCCTGGGAGTCTGGAATGGGCGATCCTAGAAGTCTGGGCTTCTCTTCTCCCAGATTCCCAGTCTGCAATTACAGGATTCTAGGAGCCTAGGGAGCCCACCAGCTTCACCTCCCCCTGCCTCACTTGCCCTGCCTTGCTTCCTCCGACTGCTCTTGCACTCGCTCACCGCGTCAGCACCTGGGCCTGAGGTTCCTGGTCTGTCCTCCCCGGCCCCATCTTCCCATCTTCTGCTTTTCCACTTCCGCCGCTCCCAGACAGGCTGTCCTGCCACCTCACCCTTCTCCCGCCTCTGCCACGTCCCAACAGCCCCCATCCCCGTCCCTTTATTGACTTCAGGTCACCCTGGCTCAGAACAGACCCCCAGCCAGGCCCAACGGCAGTGGGAACCGATTGAAGGAACCCATGGCAGCACAGGGACAGCTCAAGGAAGGCATCAGCCCTGTTTGGAGTAGAACCCCAGCCTGGAATCCTGGAATGCCCCAGCAGGGGACAAGCCCAGTGCCCCCAGAGCCAGGCAGAACAGCCAGGTGAGCGAAGCCAGAGGTGTGAGCCAAGAGTAGGTGGTGACTGGCCCCCAGGGGTTGTGGCAGAGAGGAGTGAGGGGTGGGGACCGTGGTGCACTAGAGAAGAAAACATGGCTCTCTGCAGGGGAGGCTGCCCCTCACAAGGATGGGCCCAGGTTGCCAGATACCCCAGCTTTTTAAGAGAAGTTGGAAGTTTGGATTTTTGTGAGAAATTTCCCATTTTTAAACATGAGCAACTGATTGAAAAGCAGTGAAACAGCACGGCCCCGTTCGGGTGGCTGGCAGGCCCACTGCTCTGCAGAGGCTGGGGATTAGCAGGGCCGTGGGCCACGGTGAGAACATACCAGAGCTGAGGCCAGGCCCGGGGTCCCCACCCCTGCTCAGTGCTCTGCTCCCCTTCTCAGCTGCTCTCTGTGTCCATGGCCACCTGACCTGGGGAGGCTGGGGCAGGGGGGGAGGGGCTGGGAGGCAGCATCTGTGCTTGGCTCAGGTGTGGAGAGGATGACCTGGGGCCCTTTATTCCTGTTCCAGGAATGTTCTAGGACTCATCAGAGATGGTGTTCTCTTGGTGGGCACCGGGAAGCACTGAGATGGGGCGCTGACCCCCCCCCATAGTCACTTCTAGCCTATGATCTGTGAGAGCAAATATCTGGGAGGCCGGGGGAGGAAGGGGAGCAGGAGGGGGCAGGGGAGAGGGCTCCACACCATTACGGTGAGCCATAGTCCCAAGGTCAAGTCAGAGTCAACAGACAACACTGGGGTCACACTGTTACCTTGTGTTTGGTTCTCAGTAGGCCCTGCCCCCTGTGTTCCCCTTTACCACCCCAGCCAAGTTCACCTTGTATGATACCCTGAGTAGGCCCAGGCCTCCAGCTCCAGTGTCTTCCCCGTTCACCCATGGGACTCCTGTTCATCCTTTTAGGTCTGTCCTCCATACGCCCTCCATTCCCCACCAGGTGTAGGCTCCTGGAGTCTTCAGGGAGCCTGGCTCAGCCATACACCTGGTGAGCCGTGACAGCCCAGCTCAGCCTGCATGGGACGCTCACGGCCTCCAGAGACAACCCCCTTCATTTCTGTGCAGTTAAGACCCTTCTAGCACTCTCCCCGGACCCCAGAGTACCTGGGGCCACGGCAGGGCATCATGGTGGGGGGCTTGTGTTGCTCAGCCACACAGACCTGGGTTCATTCCCAGCTCGGCCCCTCCGTGGCAGTGCGGCCTTGGGGACCCACAGAGCCCGTACACAATTTTGCACAACACAGCAGCAACTCAAAGCAGCGGGTGGCTCTGGGGACAGCCAGTGAAGAGTTAAGACCGCCCCAGCCCCTCTGAATTCCACGTGACCCTGGGTTGCTGAGCCTACGGTTTTGCGGTGGACACTCTTCTCCAGACTCATTTTTTGCCCATGGCTCATGGAAAGTTTGGCTCCTTGAGCTCCAGGCCATTCCCTCTGGGGCCTGAGGCCTTGCTGACGCTGTCCTGCCCTGGAAGGGCGTCCAGGGCTGCCTGCCCGCCCGGTGATCCTTGGCCAGCGCTCCACCCCCAACCCCCTTCTGTCTCCGCCTGACTTCCTGCAGGCTGACCTTCTCCCCCAGGACAGGGTAGCAGCCCGCCCCCCTTGGCCACGCTGAGTCCTCCTCCCAGCGCCCCATCCAGGATCGCTTTCTATTTGAGGGAAAAAAAGCCTCTTCCCCTAATGTCCACAGCATCTGTGAACAGCCTCCCATCGAGAACGATAGCCAACAGGAGTCAAGGCAAGCTTGGACTCTGCCCCTCGGAGCCCAGTCTTGGCCCTGCTGTCCACTGGCTGGGCAACCCAGCTGGATCTGCTGCTTCATCTCTGACCCCCAGTGTCATCAGATGGAAGATGAAGACAATGGATTTCCCCTTGCAGGGAATGAAATGGAATAATATAGGTGCTTAGTGCATAGTTTTAAAAAACCCGTCAGTGCTTAGTGCAATCCATGGCAGGTAGAAGCCCTGTAGGTGGGATGGTTCTCAGGAGCCTGCTGTCCCTAGTACAGATCAAGAAACTGAGGCCCAGCTCCTGCCTCCAACCAGCAAAGGGAGAAGGAGGGTGGGGACGGGTGTGCTTGGAGTCTGGGTGAGGCAATGACGGAAGCCCGAGGGCGAGCTGGTATCTTCCAGTTCCACAGCAGGGCGCCCTGGAGGCTGGGCCTTGGTGTCGCCATCTGTAAAATGGATGGGTTGGAGAGCCACAGAGGGGAACAGTGCCTATTCCTCAGAGCTGGGTTCTGGGACTGGCCCCTCTTGCTGGATGGAGTTAATGATTAAGAGTTCTGATGGCCTCTCCAGCGGGCGGGGAGGTCTAGCCAAAGCAACAGGAGGTGCGGATGCAGATGTGCTGTAGGAGTAGGGCAGCACTAAAATCCTCCAGGCCCCAAGGCTGGCTTTGACCCTGACTCTGCTGACCCAGGGTCAGGGTCTCACAGAGTTTTAGGAATTGGGGTAGCAGGAGGGCAGGGGCAGGGGTGGGGCCGATGGTCAATATTGATCTAGCTGTGTCAGGGAAGTGGATGGAGAAGTGGGAAGCCTGGGGTGGGGCTTGCTGATAACTGGTCTTCCAGCTCCCAGTGTGGCTGTGGGAACTGGGGAACGGGGTGCTTGGGGCAGAATTCCCAAACTGCTTACTGAAACTACAGCTGCCTGGAGGCCTGCCCAGGCTTCATGCATCCTGTCCTCTGAGGGTAGGGCCTAAACATCTGTATTTTTAGCCTACTCCCTGGGGGATTTGCAGCAGCCAGCTCAGTTCCCATATTTGGGGACCATAGGTTCAATCCCCTTATTGTAACAATGAGAAATCTGAGGTCCAGGGAGGAAAAGTAACTCGCTCAAGGTCACACTGGGAGAGAATGATGATAATTCTCCCCTTTTTCTTGGGTGAAAGGGTAGTCGACTTCTAGATAGCTCCATCCATCCCCCAGCTGTGGCCCAAAGCCCAGGAAAGGATGGTGGGGACAGGATGCCCACAGGGAAGTGGCTTCTGAGACCTTGGTAGGTCCAGTTAGAGAAGGGAGGGTGGGGCTTGTCCCAGGAGGAAGGACAAGGAGCAGGGGCCATTCCCACAGGACTGGACCTGCCCCACCCTGCCCTGTGCAAACACTCCCAGCACCTGCTAGAGGATGTTTCCCAAAAGATTTACTGTGGCCCAGTCTGGAGAAGGCCATTTCCATTGCTGGGGACCTACCTGGGCCCTGGAAAAGCACATCTACAACAAAGGAGATTTGGGACACACTCTGACACTCTGGCTTCCCACAGCCTCCTCCCTAGCCTCGTCTCTCCCCACCCCTACCTAATCCACTGTTCTGGGCGGTCAGCCTTTGCCTTGTTTCCCCCCACTTCACCCCTTTGAGCATGTTCACAAAGCCTCCCCAGCACCCCCAGTCACTGCCATGCTTTGGCTGCTCCTTCCTCTGGCTCTGGTCCACTTCGCACCTCCAGGTCCAGCCCCCACCCCAGCCCACCCTGCACTCTGGTTTGCTGCATGGCTCTCACCCTCTGGGGTGGCCCCTTTGGGGACAGGAGACAGGTCCAGCTCATCACTGGGCCCTACTCAGAGCCCAGCTGGCTGCCGTAGTCCCCAGCAGGTGTTTGGAGGGGCTAAAATTCCGAAACCCACCCCCCTCCCTCACATCCTGGGCCATCCCAGTC